CTTCTTTTTCTCTTCTTCTTCTTCTTTTTCTTCTTCTTCTTCTTCTTTTTTTTTCTTCTTCTTCTTCTTCTTCAGCGTACAATGCAAACATTTTTTAATATGGATGCAACATTTCTCTAACGTACCAAAACAAGGAGCATGTTACCAAAGGTACAAAGGTGCCAAATTTGTACGAAAGTACCAACCAACTTCAGCAGCCCTGCTGCCAGTATGTTGAACAAATCCGCAACTGTCCGCGCCTCTTCCCTCTACTTCATGGCGTAAGCCTGGCGTATGTTTTCTGGTGTCGCCGATCTATCCCTGGGGACTCCCAGCAGACGATAAATACTGAGACCCACACAGCCACTGGCTGTTCGGGAAATCGATAAAGCGAATGTGCTAAATCCCGAACAGGGAGCCAGGGAGGGCTGATACGGCTTTGTAACTGTGATTGATTTCGTGGAATTAGGACACCAAGCCGTTGGCTGCGACCGGATCTTTCCATCTGGGCTTGATTAAAAAAAAAATCGGAATGGAAAAAAAAAAAAAACATCGAAAAAAAAATATGTACATGTGCTAAGAAATGTAGACACAAACATCCACATTTCATTTTGTTTTAAATTAGTTGCTTGTGGTTGTTAAATGACGGTATAAAATTTTAACAGCACGCGCGCCTTCCCGTGCTATCAGTGCCAAACCTGGACACTTACATCCTCCAATGAGCGTAAAATTGTGACAGCAGAGCTGAAATGCCTTAAAGGAGCTGCAGGAGTTTCAAGGAAAGACAGAATATGAAATCACAAAATCAGACGAATGCTAGGAATAAAGCCAGTCTTACAGGTCATCAAAGAACAACAATTGAAGTGGTTTGGACACCTAACAAGAATGCTCTGGTACTATCCACCACAGCGAGCCACACTAAAACGTTACAAGGGTATAGAGCGAGTGAAAGACCTCGGAAAATATGGAGTGATGGCATTAAGAACAGCTTTACAGAAATGAACATCAGTCTTAATAGTGCTCTTGACAGAGCTCATCAACGAATGTTACATCACCCCCCGACACTTCGATGAGGTACACGGTGGAAGAAGAGAAGAAGAAGAAGTGTAGACACAAACATTCACATTTCATTTTTATTTAAAGTTGGTTGCGTGTCGTTTTTACATGACTGTGTAGAATTTTGACAGCATGCACCATACGGATGTGAGTTGCGGACAATGTTCCAGTTCTTAATCCTTTTTTCCCGTTTCCTAACAAGTATGTCAAAGTAAATCAACCCAGCGACACAAGTCACACACCGTGTATTTGGATCCTGAATATGCAGTAGACCCATGCTTTCGTTGTCATCCTTATTGCATCAGTCAGGTATCAGCTATCATCTTCTGGGATTGAAAGAGTTAAGAAAGAAAGAAATGGCCTTTGAGTTGAAATTATATCGACATTTTCTCAAAATACCGCGAGCAAAGAAGAAAAGAAATGGCTAATTTTCTAGGTTAGCCTTGGAGTCAAGGTCACTTCTGAAGGGGAAGTAAATCCGTTTCGATGCGGATTCGAACTCAAAACCTTTGAACCAACAGACGAGCGTCTAGCCGCAGCGCTGCCGTGGCTGATGTAATTCTTCTTCTTCTTCTTGTGTTCGCCTTCTGATTTACACCGACAGACAGGTTCTTGTGATAAACTTGACTGTTTTTATTAGTTCATTTTTAGTCCCATACAACTTTGTGTACAGTGGTGATTCACTGGGCCAGTATTCCTTTCTTAATGGGCTGAACAAGGGACAGTCTTGCAGGACATGTTCTGTAGTCTGCACACATAGCCCACAAGGGCAAAAAGGTGAACTACTTAGACGAAGCCTGTGCATATGCTGGTTAAGTTTGTTATGTCCTGTCCTGAGACGTAGGACAAAGACCTGCCCATGCCGGTCAAGTAAGTGGTAGTCATCTCTGGCCAGACTCTGTTCACTTCAAATAGCCTGGATGGCCCTTTTCTTCTCATAGTTTGTTACTGCATTCTCTTCCTGGTCACATTCTGCCCCTTTTTTAGCAAGTTTATCTGCGGTTTCGTTTCCTGGTATACCACAGTGGGATGGCACCCACTGGAGTACAGTACACTTTTGGGCAGCCACCTTGCCAAGTTCAGATCTCAAGTGAGGGAGTTTGCCACTCTTGAGGGCTTGAAGCACTGATAGCGCATCTGTGAATATGACCACTTGGTGGCAGTCAGAACTGGTGTTGTGTAACATTTCGGCAGCCTGCTCTAGTGCTACAATCTCTGCTGTGTAGTTGGAACAGAATTTACCAGTGGGTATCCATCCACTTTGTGTGGCGGTGGTTGCCTGGGTATGTAATAAAGACTCCAGCACCCCCATTTTTAACCGCACTGGTTGCTGATCCATCTGTGTAAACATGTATCCATGACTGTTCGGCTGATGTAATCAAAGTGTAAAAACTATTATGGGAACAATCAGTAGAGGTACCTTAGAATGGCTGCTGCATAGGAGGACTGAGCACACACAGGGATTCCCAGTGTGCAGTGACGGCGAGTGTGATTTAGGTTTAGGTTTAGGCGACGGATCAACATCATGGCACAAGAGTAGTAGTAACCCGTGAGTGCTCCGTTCTACTTCTGACTCAAGCCTGAGCCCTAAATTCTCAGCGCAGTACACAAACTCCGTAGCACCGGTGAGTATCCTGAAATATTTTGGGTAGATTTTTAACTCCAAATTCTACCCTGGCAGCGACGTTAGACTACTCTTGTTCGATTATCAACTGCATAGAGATTTTTTTTTACGTGCGCACACAATACACACGGGCGCCTTGATCCTACTACCCAGAGACCAGGGGAAATTATCAGAAGTCCACTTCAAAAATCCCCGCCGTCACCGGGGCTTGAACCCGGGACCTCCAGCACTCCAGCCTTGAGACCACAACCCCCTCCCCCCCCTTCTCCCGGCGAATGTGATATCATAACATAGGATCAAATAAAGGACACTCGTCCACGTCTGCAGGCGTTGTGAGGATAGAGCTTTATCTTATAGCTTCATCGCCACTCGGTCAGTGATGTGGTCAGCATCACGCCGGCCGCTTGTACTTCCGAGGAGTTTACCTGGTACCCATTAAAGGCTGGGTCGACCTGGGAGTCCAGGTTATTTTAAAATTATGTTTGAATGCTTGTTTGTTTGTTTTAGTATCCAGAAGCCATGAGTTGTTAACCCTTAGGCTCGGTATTATGGATATCGCAACCTTTCGGCCTTGATTCCATTGTAAATACCGTAAATGTGGGAGAAATGTGGCTTGTCTGCCTACCCCCGGGAGTGAACCCGGACCACAAGGAGTTCGTCACCCGGGTCACCGCGCAATCCGGTTTAGCCAACTACGCTAAAGAGCCGGGCTAACTTATGTTAAGGCGCCGTGGAAGAGCTTTAATTTAAAAAAAAGCGACGCGACTAACTAAAGTTTGGGAAACCCTGGTATAGAGGTTAGTGGTATTTTAGATTTCCTGTAGAAGACGTGTAGGTACTTTCATTTGATACGACTGTTGTAGTCCTGTTATCTTCATCTTATGCGTATATTTTCATTTGAATGATATTAAAGTTTATGTAGCCTGTCACAAGTCGTTATTGTTGACTGTTCGAGACAGCCACAGTTGTTATTTGCTGCTGTTGGGTCCAGTGTGCCCAGTGTGCAGGACTGCAAGTGTTAGCAGCACATCCATGGAAAGGAGATCCCAGCGGCATGTTAGCGTAGGGACCTTAGACCTACATAAAGTAAAAAGTAAAGGGCCCTTTTCCACGCCTTTGGGCGTATAGGGCAAATAAGGCTAGACCTATATATTTTTATAGACCAATCGGCACAAGATAGGGGATGTTGTCAGCATCACGTCGGCCGCCTTTACTTTCCGGGACTGCACCCGGTACCCACTCAAGGCTGGGTCGACCTGGGAGTCAAGGTTAAAAAAAAAAAAGCAAATCCAGTTCCGCCAGGGAGCGAACCCAAGACCTTCCGATCCGCACGCGAGCGTCTAGCCGCTACGCCACTGCGACTCCCCTAGTCCTACATACTTGGTGGTTTTCAAGGTACTGAGACGTATCAGGGCAGAGAACTAAACGTTACATGAATTGATATCAAGAAGTGCTCTGTATGTCCAATCTACATAGCGGATTACATAAAAGTATAACAACGACTCTATCTCGTCGGCTTCGAGATTTGGTAGGGAAATCCTCAGAACGTCCCATGGTATAAGGGGGGGGGGGGGGGTGGTTACTTTCTCATTAGCCGACCACAAACGGGGAAAATCCACAGGTCACGAGACAGTCAAATATTTAAGGGGGTGGTAGATTTAGCTTAAAGTTGTGGTTAGGGTTACTTGGCCTTGGAAGAAACGCGCCAAAGCACAGAAAACACGGGAAACCTGCTCTTACCACCCTCTAAAATATTACGATGACCCGTGACGTCATTTGCGGTCGGCTAAAAAAAAGTACCTAGGGGATTGGGGTTAGGCTTAGTTGTAGTCGCTTTTCTTTTAACACTAGCCCTAATCCTACCCCCCCCCCCCCCCCCCCGATAATATGGTACTGTCCAGCCAAACCACTGGGGATCCGTATGAATTTCCTACAAAATCTCGAAGCCAACGATATGTGGTCGTATAAAAGTAAAGTACCGACATGTATTCAGGCGGGTGCTGGTACCTGGTTAATTGTATCACCTTCTGGTTGACATTCCTAATCTTTTCAAGCGGTAAGTGTTACATTAAGCTCTATAGGGGTGCCATGGGCTGTGAGTCGCACGCCTCATCATAGCGCAATATAACACTATCGTCTGGAAAGACGGAAAGGTGCCAATCAAAAATAGGGGTATAGTTATCTTGTGTGGGGAAGTTGGAAGAGCTGGTGGCTAAGTGGGGATGGTGTCGAAGCAGGAGAAAAAGAAGATAATGATGGTGAATTATGAGAATTCAAAGGAAAAAAAGAATAAGAATAGGTGAGAATATAAAGATGATGAAGAAAAGGTTACAAGAAGAAGATGATGAGAAGACGAACAAGATGGCGATCATGTAAAAGAATGTTAGAAGGAGTGAGTGAGGTTATGGTTAGTTGCGTATCCTTTACAGGACGTTGCAGAACCAACCCCAACAGCCCCTGGCTGTTGTGTGGTTTTTCTAGGCAAATACGTCCAGTAGTTTGCCGTTGCTTTCTGGACGGTTGGCTTTCTTGATACCACTGTCGACACCAACACAAGGCGTATGGCCCGCATCTAGGATCGAACCACATTACGAAGCGTTCGCATCGACTTAGCCAAAGAGCCGACAGTGAGTGAGAAGAAGAAAAAAAAAAGATGACGATAATGCAGAAGAAGAAGCAGAAGAAGGTACTGTGTTGTCTTGTGAGCTCTAAACAATCTAGACGAAGTTTAGCTTCAATTTCAAAATGCATGCAATAAAGCGCTGTCTGCGGCTTACGGTAGAGGAGCGGACAATCCAGATCTGTGCGTGCACGACATACTCCCCTCCTCTGCCTTCCCCCTCCATCTAACATTCTATGACACATTTCTCTCAACACATCCGCGTCTTCTTGACCGTCTGCTTATCTGTGTCGTCTGACATTTTGCGAAACACTTCTGCTGCCCCCACTGAAACAAAGCAGGCCGAGGCGGGAATTTTAAAGGGCCAACTTTCGTGCTGGCTAAACATTTTTCATCACGTCAGGAATTAGCCCCGTTAGTGAGCACGTGAGCTGCCAGGGGAGGGGACTTCAGCTCGGGGAATAAAACAAAGCCGAAGGGAAGATATAAACATTCATCGAGCAACGGTACGGTTTGGAATCTCGGAATGGCGTCTAAGATTACTCTGAATTTGAGATGCTTTTCATTGACAAAGGAGACATTAGGTAGGGTGAGTCTCTAAATAGAAAGAGCAAATTGTGGGGGAGGGGGGAGGAGTCTGGTGATATGCATTTCGGAATTAATTTTGTCATGAAGTAGCTTTTCTTCTCTTCTTCCTTCTCCCTTCTTCCTCCACCACCGCCATTAGAAGGACAGGGGACAGCACATTCCGATTTCAGCAAACTTGTAATTAGGTGCATTTTACGACCTGTTTGGGTTCTTTTCTTTTAATTTATCCCACATCGGTGACTCCCAGATTTTGTGGGTGGTTACCTGGAAAGTCAGAGGAGACTTGTTCTGGAGACGGTCTTGTTAAAACCGTGGTCCCAGGTTTGTTCGTCTGAGTGGAATAATTGCGGTGCCTCCTGTTTACCGCCAGGCTGCGATATTAGCGCCTTTCGGTCAACACATCTGACTACATGGAGCATTTGTTGACCCGGTTGCGTGTATAGATCACGTTGCTTCACTCCCAGATTTTGTGGGTGGTTACCTGGAAAGTTGGAAGAGACTTGTTCTGGAGACGGTCTTGTTAAAACCGTGGTCCCAGGTTTGTTCGTCTGAGTGGCATAATTGCGGTGCCTCCTGTTTACCGCCAGGCTGCGATATTTCGGCCAACACATCTGACTTCATGGAGCATTTGTTGACCCGGTTGCATGTATAGATCACGTTGCTTCAGACCGTTTACATCCGAGGACAGGGGAATAGGATAAATGGTTTTCTGAATGACGTCTTTTGGGCTGTGGCCGGTCCTCTGCGCAACAGCTATGATACCTCTTCTTCTTCTTCGCGTTCACCGGCTGTCAACTCGGGCTGAAATTTCTGGTTGTTCATCCACTTCTGGACTGCAGTCCTGTTTCAGAACCTGAGTGTTGCGTGTGCCCCTTTTGACAGATCTGACTCATTTGTTTGCAGACTGTTGGTTCCTTGCCTTTCAGGCAGATGCACGCCGCCTTTGAAGGAAGCTTCCAATTAGTCGACTCTTACGACATGCTTTTGGGTAGGCAGTGGGTCTGTTCTTGTTTTCCCTATAATAGGACCCCGGAACCCACACGGGGAGCTTTGATACTGACTGCATCTGCATAGTGTGTAGACTCCTCCTGTGGGTTGCAGGGCCCCATTGTGGGCGGGGGCGGCAAGAATAGACCCACTGCCTACCCCAACATAATATATACCTAGTCCTTCTAAGGGTTAAAGAAAAAGGAGAAATAGAGAAAGAAGAAGAACTACTACTACTGCTGCTGCTGCTGCTACTACTACTACTACTACTACTACTGCTGCTGCTACTGCTGCTACTACTACTGCTGCCGCTGCTACTGCATCTACCATGATCATGTCGTAAGGGTCGCGTTCAAAGTCAGAGTAAATCTGCTCGAGAGGCAAGGAACCGCCAGTCTGCACACAAATGAGCCAGAAAACGGATGTGCACATAGCACTCAGGCTCCGGAACATGACTAGAGTCCAGAAAAGGACGAAAAATGAGAACTTTCTGCCGGAGTTTACAACTGGTGGACACGAAGAAGAAGAAGAAGAATGTGTAAACACCGATGAGTATAGTTATACTTACCAAAGAAAAAAAAAGGAGAAAAACAAAATGGGGTTTAAAATAAATAAATGTGCTGGCCTTTGAAACCGAAACAAAACTAACTGCACTTGACCAATCACGTCAAATGGTAACATTTGCATCAACAGTTGCATCACTCTTTTTTGCAGTACACTCCCAATCACTTATTTTTTTTTAAAGGTTCAACGCGGTGCCAAAATTAAAAATTTGGATGTAAATATCTCAAACATACCGTTGTTTGTCAACCACGTGTGATGAATACCACTTTCATCCAAAGTAAAAATGAACAATGATTATGAGTACGAAGATGGCTGATTGGTCCACTATGAGCCTGGAAAGTTCTTGAGCAGTGTATCCTTTACATGACAATGCAGAACCACCCCCAGCATTTTTTTTCGGCTGTTGTGGTTTTTAAGGCAGATTTACCTCCAGTAGTTTGCCATTGCCTTCTGGATGGTCGGCTTCTCGATACCATTGTCGGAACCAACGCAGCTGGGATCGAACGCGGCACCCCGACATCGCGAAGCTCGTTCGCAACACCTAAGCCACAGACACCGACACCAGTTGTCTAGCCCTAGTATATACCTTGAAGGCGAGGGAAAGGCCGACCAGAGTAAGGTGGAAGGGGGGGGGGGGATTAGCCCTGTCGCCCCTAGAAAGTCAGTTTTCTGACTTTTACTGATGTTTAATGACACAACGTCTTTGGGCAGTGGCCAGTACATCCACTTCACAGCTTTAGTTCTGGTCGCAGCTGCATAGTGTGTAGACGGGGTATTCTACTTCTGCCTTTCTATCCCCCTATGGAGCATAGGCCCGCAACCAGCTTACGCAGCTCTTCCTGTGTCCTCCTCCCCCCCCCCCCTCATCTTTTTAACTTTACTCTGTATCTCCCTTCTGCATGTATTTGTTGTTGTTGTTGTCTTCCTTTATTCCTATGCTCCTGTGGGTTCCAGTGCAAAAAAATTATAGTTATGTTGTTCTCAGGTTTTCTCAAAGTGTGTCCTAACAAACGCCAGCATCTTTTCTTCACTTCTTAGTTCACTGAAACTTGCCTAATTCTATCTCAAAGCTCTACATTAGTCTTCTTCTTCTTTTGTTCGCTTGAGATAGATTATCTACATCTTTAATTCAGTCTCTAGCATGAACGTCACTGTCTGTTGCAATCACCCAGGAACCCATAAAGTTTAGCTTGCACCAGTGTTTCTCTTGGCCAAAAGTTGTTGCCTTGACATGTTGTACCGGGGACAGTCTTGCAGGACGTGATCTGTTGTTTCAGGTGCTAATCCACATGAACCTATAGCTATCTACATTAGTGATTCTATTATACTATTTAATTCTTTCTGTTCTGCTCAAGCACTTGTAATTAATGTAATTTATTAGTATTCGCCTTAGTTGTTCTTCATGTTTCCGCTCCATACAACAGTTACTGATTTGACATTAGAATTAAACATTTTAAGTTTAATATTTCTTTTAACCTCCACAAATCCCTTACTAATGGTGCCAGTAGCATTCTGATTAAACGTCCGTCTTTACTTTCCTCTGAGCCTCGAGCATCTGCCAGAACCTCTCGTCACTCCCCCCTGCATCAATCTCACCGGACTTGCTATCCATCTGCTCCTCCGAACTGTACACGCTCCCCCACAAGGAACTAACCAGTCTGCCTTGTCATGCATCAGTATTTCACCAAGTTGTACAGTCACAGCCAGCCAGTCTGTCCACCTGTTCATTTCCCAACACACCGGCTTACCCCGGTTAAAAAATCCAGACACTACTCCTCACCCATGTCCTTCGTAGCGAGGCTTGTCACTCTGCATGAAGCATACCTGTCCTAATCTTTCTCAGCATGCTTTCTGAGTCAGTTACAATCACGATGTGTGTGTGTTTTGCATTCTCTAGCCAGCAGAAAGCTGCAGTGACTGCCTCCACCTCCATCTCCATTCTTAAGCTGGATGTTGTGGTATCATATGCTAGGCTCTCCTGCACCAAATGTGGGACCATTAACTTTTGCTAAGAAACCCTAAGCACTTCTTTTGCCTCTTGACACTGAACCATCTGTGTAAATGATCAGATCTTCTGGGCTAGCATTATCGTCATTAATTGCTGAATTTCCACCTCTGTGGCACCTGCTGGCCAGTCTGTGCATTCCCGGCTCAGTGTGATTATGACCCTACACAAGTCTGACTGTTCAGGGGGCACTTTGACCCACTCCTCTCCTTGCCTAATGTTCTCAAGGATGCAAACCTGTCTGATTGTGTCTTCTGCCTGAGCCATCCATGACTTCCCTCTTATCAGCCGCTGACTCTTAACTGCACCCAGAGCTTCATGCAAAGGGTGGTCTGTGTCTGCAGCTACCCTGAGATATGACTTCACCTGCAGCACCTTATGCCTACCTGCAACCGTCGGCAAACCAAGGATCTATTGCATACACACCACTTGGGTGTCTCTGGTGCAACCCAGAATGACCTGCATAGTTGCTTTCTGTATGCGCTCTAGTTTGTCCATCTGACAAATTAGTTTTTTTTAGAACAGAAAACTAACAGATATATCAGAGACAAAATATACTAGTATGCAGAACTTCAGGAGCCTCTCTTGGCAGTGGTAAAACGTTGCAATGTAGCCTGATTCTGGCATGTGATGAGACATGATTCGATTGCAAAGACTGTACTTCAAGGAACATTGGGGGGTAGTCGAAGAAGAGGAGGACAAAGAAGAAACTGGAATGACAACATCAAGAAAGGGACAGGACTAAGTTATCATACACACTTGTTCGTCAAATGGAAGAAAGATGGCGGGTTTTGTGTGTTAGTGCTCCCATCGATATACCTCCACGCTCCTAACTGGTCAAGGATATGTTCTGTTTTGTTGTCTTTTGAGATACTATTTGAGGTGGGAGATAGACAATCCATATTTTTGTCACTTTAGCGTCATAATAAATTTATGATGACTGCAGTTTGCACTTCTGTTAACAAAATCCTTGTTTTCTTGGTCAAAGAGATATGGAAAGCAGTTATTGTCTTGCTCCATTTGCATTTAGTGGTTAATTCGCTTTAAATAAAAAAAATTATCTTTGCTTATAATAGTGAATTACAACTAATATAAATTATTTTAGTACTTTAATTATCACGACATCGTAGGGGGCGTAATGCTTGCTTATCATTCGGGTAATCATGGGTTTCAAACCCCTGTATTTTTTTTATAAAAACTTACCAAGACTCAAAATTTGTACTGCTTCTTTGCTTCTGGTTTCTTAGTACAGAGTCAGACAATTGTAAGGAAGCCTTTTGTTTGTAACACAATTTTTTAAAGTCTTTTTTTTTTTTTTATTTAATAGACTTCTACTCCCTATGTTTGTTTTGGGGCTCCTTTGTAAGGGATAGAAACAAAAAGAATTGACCCAATACCTTCCTAACATGCATATCATAAGAGTCGACTAATTAGGGATTTCCTGTAATGTCAGAGTGCATTTGCTTGCTACGCAAGGAACCAGCAGTCTGCATACAAATAAACTAGATCTGTAAAATGGATATGCACACAAAAGTCATGTTCTGAAACAAGATTAAAGTTCAGTAGTGGACGAACAACTAGACATTTCTGCTAGATTTTGCAGCTGGTGAACATGAAGAAGAATAAGAAGAAGATTCTTGCGGGGCAAAAGTGTTAAAGACATCAAGAGCATGAACATTGATCAGGCAGATCAGCTCTTGTGTAAACAGAAGGAATTCATTATAACTTTGAAGTTACTGTGCTACATCACTGACTGTCATGAACTTGTGGTGATTAGATAAACACAATCTTTCTTTTGTACCATTTGTATTGCAGTGGAATTTTTTCAGTTTTTGTACTTCATTAGTTCAACTACCATATACAGTCCCCACAGTCCACGAACACCTGAGCTCATTCTGCAGACCTGCCCAGTCTACCTGCATCTTCGAAAAGAAACCTGGCCTCAAAAGCAAAGTATGCATAGCAAGCTATGGGGAACCACAAAGGAGCTGCTACTGCCATGCGAGTTCACAGGGGCAACCCACCTGATAGTTTGACCTGAGCATACAAAACCAATTGTAAAAAAAAAGAAGAATAAGATATACTTCATTATATGCTGATGTAACTCTGCAACACCTGACAAGATGCAGCGAAGTGTGGTTAGCAATAAATTGTGCAGTGTATTGTTTGTGTTCACATTGATTAAATAAGCTTTTATTTAAATCATATTATGTTATTAATGTATTAAAAAACAAACATAATTTTTCATGTAAGTACATAGACACACAAGAGTAAATAATTATCTTTACAGGTGGTATGTACAGTGTTATCATCATCGTCATCATGTGCCCTGCCAACTGGCGTAGGTGCTCATTCATCTCCACAGATCACGAACCCTACAGTGTTATGCATGGACTAATAAAAGGGCATGATTAACAAAGTATATATTTTTTCTTTAAGATTCTGAATATTTCTGCACCACTTTACATTAGCATCCACAAAGTGTGTGCCCCTGAATAAAGGTGAGCTCAGTAGCTCATCAGGAAACAGCATACAAATTGACCTCAAATGTCTGCCCAGACAAACATACGTACACAGCCGAACTTAATAAAAGCTTATAAAAACGTTAATCACTCATCATGGGCACGCTGTGCTACTGCCATGAAAAAAGGGTCCTTTACTTTACTTATTTGAGATCGTTGTTGCTGTTTTGTTCCACAGAAGCCTTAATCCAGCATAGGCCCTTGCCTGACGCACCTATGGGAGGGACCAGATGGATGTCCAAGGAGAATCTGCTGTCCATTAACATTGAGGATGATCCTACGTTGTTTGTGGCATTGTACGACTTCCAGGCAGGAGGAGTTAATCAGTTGAGCATATCAAAAGGTTAGTCATCTTGAGTTTCTCTGTTTGCCAGGAAGTCAGTACGCATAAAACACTTTCTGTCCCAGTCGAAAGCGACAGCCCTGGAAATCAGCATTTATGTAGCGACAGGGTTAACAAGCATGTCATACAGGCGACTGACAGAGGTTTTGTTGAAATCAGTTGTGTGGGCTGATATATTGCAGCCTAATGTAAATCACAACATGTGAGTGTCAGCCGCCCTTCTAAGGACAAACACAACATATCCAGATATAGCAAACTCCTAATTAAATGCTTTGCATGTCAGCCTCGTCAAGAGGCAGTGGATCTTTTCCCTTCCCTAAAATGCAGTGCCATAACTGTTCTTCTTCTTTTCGTTCGCTTTCACCGGTTTCTGTATGCAGACTCTTATTTCCTTGCCTCTCAGGCAGTTGTACGACTTTAAAAGATCCACTTAGCTGACCCCTGTCCTTCACCCTTTTTTCACACTATTTGCATGTTGTGCATATGTTGAGTGACTAATGTTTCTATAAGCTTTTATTAAGTTCAATTGTGTATGTATGTTTGTCAGGGCAGACATTTGTGGTACATTTGTACACTGTTTCATGATGAGTGTTTGAGCCCAAATTTTGCACACACAGTCTTTGTGGATGACTATGAAAAGTGGTGCACACAAAAAAATATTCCGAATTTTTTCTAAGAATCATATTTTTTAATCATGTGCTTTTATTAGTCATTGCATAAAATTGTATAAGTAAAGGGAATTTTTTACTTTCATATATTCGTTAACTTAGTAAATAAATTATGTTTGTTATTAGTGCATTAGTAAAATGATAAAAGTTTATATAACCGATTTTTTTTATTTAATATAGAGACAAACAATACATTGTACACTTTATTTCCAAGCAGATTTCGCTGTATCTCATCAGATGAGTTACTGCAGGGTTACAAAGCATAAAATGAAGCATATAAATTGAATAAATTCCACTGAAATGCAAATGGTTTCACAGATCATTTATTTGTGTGTAGACTCTAGGTTCTTTGCCTCTCAGGCAGATGTACTCCGACTTCGAAGGACGCCCCCCCCACTTAATCGACGCCTGTGATATGCTTGTTGTGGAGGCAGTGGGTAGTTTCTTGTTCTGTCCACATTATTGCCTTGGAACCCATACAGGGAATCCCAAAACAAAAGAAACAGCAGGATTGAATGGTTTGGTCATCTCTTTAGAATGCAGCAACATCAAATACCATCACAGCCACTGCAAGATGGATGTCCAAGGAGAACCTGCAGTCCATGAAAGTTGCAGTGGATTCTAAATTGTTTGTATTGTTGTACAACTTCTAGGCAGGAGGAGTTAATCAATTGAACATATCGAAAGGTTAGTTGTCTTGAGTTTCTCTGTTTGCTGGGAAGTCATTCCTTTTAACACTCTCTGTCCCAGTCATTTAACACACACACAAAACATAATAATAATAATAACAGCACGTTTAAAAAAAGAGCAAAATCAACATCTAAGATCAGCTACAAGAGTCACCGAAAAGATAGATCTACACAGCATGAAAGACATCTACTCCTTCACGACACGACAATACCCAGTACCAGCCAGAGTGCGCAAGCTCGCAACTTATTCCTCTCCGCGCTACCCTTAATGGCAGCAGTGGTTAATGATGATGATGAACACCTGTGTATTTGTTTCAGGTGAAGTGGTGACAATCATCGCCTACAACAACAGCGGGGAGTGGTGTGAGGTTCAGAACCGGGCTGGACTAGGAGGCTGGGTTCCCAGCAATTACATTGGCCCAGCCAACAGTGTGGACAAGTTCTCCTGGTACCACGGCCCCATCTCCAGAAATGCCTCGGAATATTTGCTCAGTTCGGGGATTAACGGCAGCTTTCTTGTGAGGGAAAGCGAGAGCAGTCCAGGTCAGAGGTCGATATCTGTCCGGTTCGAAGGCAGGGTTTACCACTATCGGATTAGTGAAGACTCAGATGGCAAGGTACACTGTTTGTCCATGTGTATATGTTAAGATGACAAGGTACACTGTTTGTCCATGTGTATATGTTAAGATGGCAAGGTACACTGTTTGTCCATGTGTATATGTTAAGTTACAGATGTCCAAGGTATATGTTAAGATGACAAGGTACACTGTTTGTCCATGTGTATATGATACACTGTCCAGTATATGTTAAGATGGGCAAGGTACAAGGTACACTGTTTGTCCATGTGTATATGTTAAGATGGCAAGGTACACTGTTTGTCCCACTGTTTGTCCATGTGTATATGTTAAGATGGCAAGGTACACTGTTTGTCCATGTGATATTGTCCATGTGTATAGTTAAGATGCAAGGTACACTGTTTGTCCATGTGTATATGTTAAGATGGCAAGGTACACTGTTTGTCCACTGTGTATATGTTAAGATGCCACTGTGTGTCCTGTGTATATGTTAAGATGACAAGGTACACTGTTTGTCCATGTGTATATGTTAAGATGACAAGGTACACTGTTTGTCCATGTGTATATGTTAAGATGACAAGGTACACTGTTTGTCCATGTGTATATGTTAAGTTAAGATGTCCATGTGTACATGTTAAGTTTGTCCATGTGTATATGTTAAGATGGCAAGGTACATGTTGTATATGTTAAGATCCAAGGTACACTGTTTGTCCATGTTAAGATGGCAAGGTACACTGTTTGTCCATGTGTATATGTTAAGATGGCAAGGTACACTGTTTGTCCATGTGTATATGTTAAGATGGCAAGGTACACTGTTTGTCCATGTGTATATGTTAAGATGGCAAGGTACACTGTTTGTCCATGTGTATATGTTAAGATGGCAAGGTACACTGTTTGTCCATGTGTATATGTTAAGATGGCAAGGTACACTGTTTGTCCATGTGTATATGTTAAGATGGCAAGGTACACTGTCCATGTGTATATGCTAACAGTTGTCAACGTTGTTTTCTACTAAACTAAAACTATTTGTCTCTGATGTCAGATCAGTACTGCTGTATGGAACTGAAACACAAAGAAAGACTGAAAAAAATTACTAAAAAACTACATTCTTTAACTGCTGTCTGCATGTTAAGATAGAGTCCATGTGATAACATGGAGTAACGGGATGTGTATATGTTAAATGGCAAGGTACACTCCATGTGTAAAAATGGCTAACATTCTTTAACTAAACTAAAACTTTTTGTCTCTAATGCTGTACTGCATGGGGCACTAGATTTGAAACACTGGAGCACGGAATAGGGTAACAAAAAGTACTAAATTGTAACAAAAATTGTACATTTCTGTAAAAAAATTGTAACAAATAAATTGTAACAAATAAATTGTAACAAATAAATTGTAACAAATAAATTGTAACAAATAAATTGTAACAAATAAATTGCGAGATAGAATCATATGTGTAATTTAGGAGGGGCCTAAACTCTTCTCCTCCTTATCATTCACAAGCTGGGATACTGGAACCCACATGTGGAGAGAGAACTTGTAGTATGCGATACAGAGAGAGGCAGTGCATGCATCCGTGGCAAAAATATATTGGGTAGGGCCGTTCAGCTAAGTTTTCTCAGGGGCTGGAAAATGAGAGATGGTCACAGCTTAATGAAACGGGAAAGCAGAAAAATGTGCACAAAACAATATTTAGGCCAGTGGCCTTTCTCTGCGAAACGTTTTGTGCACGTTTTTATGCTTTCCCCATTTCGTTGAGATTTTTAGTCACATTTCACTGGAATTCCTCGGTAACAACTTGGCTGCAGTCACCCCCGTATTTTAAGTGCTCAACGTAAGTTGCAGACATGCTGTAGTTAGGGTATGGTCTGCTCAGTTAGCGTGCTGCTGGCAACCACGCTGTATCGATCAGTGCAGGACATGTCCCAGCATGTGCTTCATGGAAGCCTGTAGCCTTCTTCTCTCTGGCGTGGAGAAGTTCACGAAGAAGAAGAAGAAGATACCACAATAGTGACCCCAGGTTGTACAGAGAATGGACACCAGCCTGCAAGGCAAACAGAGAAGATCAGTGTGGTTTGAAGAAAAGAAAGAAAAAGCCGCTCTGCATCTTTTGCATGTTGTTTGTTTTTGGAATCTCCAGAGAATACATTTTTTCTCTGACTGTAATGACATGTTTGCTCTTCTGATTCTGTATGTGTGCGTTCAGCCTGATGAAGTCATTGTAATTGGTACTTCTGTTTGGAGAGCACACCAGAAACCTTTCATTGAGGCAAAGTAGCGCAGTTTGTATTACATTTGGTTTGTAGCTCATGATATGGCATGCTGTAAGCAATGATAGTAGTTAATCAGTGTTAAGCCAGGCCTTTGAAAGTGGTATTTGTGTCAGTGATTCACCGTTAGCTACCTTCCTGAGTGCTGTGATTTTGGTTTAGAAGGGTTATTCTATCTTTTGTTGTAAAATGAGATTCCTGAGTAGAGATTCATGAGTACAGATTCCTGTGTAGAGATTACAGATTCATGTGTAGAGATTACAGATTCCTGTGTAGAGATTCGTGAGTGGAGACTCCTGAATAGAGATTCCTGAGAACAGATTCCTGTGTAGAGATTCCTGTGTAGAGATTACAGATTCATGTGTAGAGATTCGTGAGTGGAGATTCCTGTGTAGAGATTACAGATTCGTGAGTGGAGATTCGTGAGTGGAGATTCCTGTGTAGAGATTACAGATTCCTGTGTAGAGATTCGTGAGTACAGATTCATGTGTAGAGATTATAGATTCCCGTGTAGAGATTACAGATTCCTGTGTAGAGATTCCTGAGTACAGATTCATGAGTAGAGATTACAGATTCATGTGTAGAGATTCCTGAGTACAGATTCCTGTGTAGAGATGACAGATTCCTGTGTAGAGATTCCTGAGTACAGATTCATGTGTAGAGATTACAGATTCCTGTGTACAGATTACAGATTCCTGTGTAGAGATTACAGATTCCTGTGTAGAGATTCCTGAGTACAGATTCCTGTGTAGAGATTACAGATTCCTGTGTAGAGATTACAGATTCCTGTGTAGAGAT